TACATAGCCCCAAGTGCGATAGGAGAAGGATCGTTGAGTGCGAGAGAATGACCTGAAAAATAGGCTCATGGCCAGCTTGAAACCTGGATCTCCCGTAGCCGGTTACCAAGATTACGTGAATACCCTCAGAAGGTCTGCTAGATGATGTTAATGCAGCACTACGGCGATACTACAACCACGATTACGACACTAACAAGCTGATATACATACGGCAGCAGTGATCAGTGAGATGCTTGGCTACAAGTTGAACAGCCACAAGGGGCAGTACCTCCATGGAGAAGGAGGCTAGAGGGCAAGATCAAAGTAGCACGGAGGGAGGTTAGCCAACTAACGGAGTTGCAGAAAGGTGCGACAAAGAAGGTGCATAAGCTGTCCATACCTGTCCATACCTGAGGCCTTGGAAACTGCCAAGCAAAGACTCACAGCCTTGGCCAGCCGCTTGAGGAGGTACACCAGAGAGATAGAAGGCAGGAGAATAAACCAGCTGTTCTCCACAGAATCAGCAAAGGTGTACTCTCAGTGGCAAGGGAACAATAATAAGAGAACAGCACCACCAAGGCTGGAGACGGAGCAATACTGGAAGAGCATATGGGAGAAGGACGTAACCCATAACGGCAATGCTCAGTGGCTAGTGGATCTGAGGGCAGACCACAGGACCTCCCTGAACAGGGTCTGTAACCATCACAGTTGCAGATATCCAAGAAAGGGTCTCCAGTATGAAGAGTTGGACAGCACCAGGGCCCGACATGGTTCACGCCTACTGGCTAAAGAAGCTGACTGCACTCCACCAGCGTCTGGCAGCACAAATGAACCAGCTGCTAGTTAACGAGAGACACCCGGAATGGCTAACCGAAGGTCGGACGGTCCTGATCCCCAAGGACCCAAGAAGGGACCGGTCCCCTCCAACTAACCGACCAATAACCTGCCTCAGTACTACATGGAAGCTCCTGTCAGGCATCATATCGGTTAAGATGAACAGGCACATGGGTCAATACATGAGTGGGGCACAGAAAGGGATTGGCAAGAATACCAGAGGCGCAAAACACCAGCTACTGGTAGACAGAACAGTCAGCCGAGACTGCAAGACCAGACTGACCAACCTGTGCACTGCCTGGATTGATTACAAGAAGGCCTATGACTCAATGCCCCACAGCTGGATACTGGAATGCCTAGAATTGTACAAGATCAATGGGACCCTAAGAGCCTTCATCAGGAACTCAATGGGGATGTGGCGTACAACACTAGAGGCCAACTCCAAGCCCATAGCACAAGTCACCATCAAGTGCGGGATCTACCAAGGAGATGCTCTGTCCCCACTGCTGTTCTGCATAGGCCTGAACCCCCTCAGTGAGATCATTAACAAGACTGGCTACGGATACCGACTACGGAACGGAGCAGTTGTCAGCCACCTCCTGTACATGGATGACATCAAGCTGTATGCCAAGAGTGAACGAGACATCGATTCACTGATCCACACTACCAGGCTATACAGCAATGACATTGGAATGTCGTTCGGACTGGAGAAGTGTAGTCGGATGGTAACAAAGAGAGGGAAGGTAGTCAGAACTGAGGGGATTGAACTACCAGAAGGCAACATTGCAGACATAGAGGACAGTTACAAGTACCTGGGGATCCCGCAGGCAAATGGGAACCATGAAGAGGCCGCTAGAAAGGCTGCAACCACCAAGTACCTGCAGAGGGTCAGGCAAGTCCTGAGGAGTCAGCTGAATGGTAAGAACAAGATCCGGGCCATCAACACGTACGCCCTGCCCGTGATCAGGTACCCTGCTGGGGTAATAGGCTGGCCAAAGGAGGAGATAGAAGCCACTGACATAAAGACAAGAAAGCTCCTTACCATGCATGGAGGGTTTCACCCCAAGTCCAGCACCCTGAGGCTGTACGCTAAGCGGAAGGAAGGGGGCCGGGGAATGGTGAGTGTCAGCACCACAGTCCAGGATGAGACAACAAACATCCAAGAATACATTGGGAAGATGGCCCCAACTGACCGAGTGCTCAGTGAATACCTCAGGCAGCAGAAACCCAAGAAAGAGGAGGGAGATGAGGAACCATCATGAAAGGACAGGCCCCTGCACGGTATGTACCACCGGCAGATAGAGGAGGTGGCTGATATCCAGAATCCTCCAGTGGCTGGACAAAGCTGGACTGAAAGACAGCACAGAGGCACTAATCATGGCAGCACAAGAACAAGCTCTGAGTACAAGATCCATAGAGGCTGGGGTCTATCACACCAGGCAAGACCCCAGGTGCAGGCTGTGTAAAGATGCCCCAGAGACAATCCAGCACATAACAGCAGGGTGCAAGATGCTAGCAGGCAAGGCATACATGGAACGCCATAACCAAGTGGCCGGCATAGTGTACAGGAACATCTGTGCCGAGTATAACCTGGAAGTCCCGAGGTCAAAATGGGAGATGCCCCAAGGGTGGTGGAGATGACCGAGCTAAGATCCTGTGGGACTTCCAGATACAGACGGACAAAATGGTGGTGGCTAACCAACCGGACATAGTGGTGGTAGACAAACAGAAGAAGACGGCCGTAGTGATCGATGTAGCGGTTCCGAATGATAGCAATATCAGGAAGAAGGAACACGAGAAGCTGGAGAAATACCAAGGGCTCAGAGAAGAGCTCGAGAGGATGTGGAGGTGAAGTAACGGTGGTCCCGTGGTAATCGAGCACTAGGTGCGGTGACTCCCAGCTAGCGAGTGGCTCCAGCAGATCCCGGAATAACATCGGAGATCTCTGTCCAGAAGAGCGCAGTCCTGGGAACAGCTAAGATACTGCGCAGGACCCTCAAGCTCCCAGGCCTCTGGTAGAGGACCCGAGCTTGAAGGATAAACCGCCCGCAGGGGCGTGCTGGGTGTTATTTTTTAAAAAAAACACCCAGCACGCCCCTGCGGGCGGTTTATCCTTCAAGCTCGGGAGTTTGTTGGAGTTTTCTCTGTATTATTGTAGGGTCTTTACCTTACAACATAAAGCACCTTGAGTTGATTGTTGTTGTACTTTGAGACTATATAAATAAAATAGAACTGAATTAAATTAAATTACTTTCTGTGTGCTGTGCAGGGTCCAAAAACTAACTTCAAAGAATCGGTGCAATGGTATTAAATAAGTAACTACAGTGATGTGACCGCTCTACATTAAGAGACTTTCGTACAGGCAAGTCTGTTTGAAATGCAGAAAATTCATTCACTTCACCAAGTGGAAGAACAGTGAAAAGCAGCTAAGCAGCAGATTCCAGTTAGTTTCTGTTTATTTCATAACTCTTCTGCATATATTATCAACAGTTTAACAAACAGGATTCTTTTATTTAAAAACACGATGTAACATTGATGGGTGGAGGTCTAACATGTGAAACACTTAAACCACTTCTACACACAGAAACTTTTGGCTTATTCAGACCAGTTTGGCAGCGCTGTATTTGGGAGAGGTGTCAGTAAAGGTTCTTGATGGAGGGCAGCAGCTTCACACTCACACAGACGGAAACTAATTCCACTACTGCCAGTACAACACAACATCCCCAGGTTTGTACGACTGCTGGGCTAATGCAGTCAAAGTCATGCACTAAGAAAACTTTGCAGGTTTCCAACACAAAGTCACTTTTTCAGACGTGTTGGAAAATGTCCAAAATGCTGCAAAATGTGCGAGCCACGAGCATCAGTTTGTGCCTCTGAGGGGTTTTATCACAAGTGCAGATAAAAAGATTGCCATTCAAATTTAAAAAAAAGATTCCTATAAATGTCTTTATGCTAACTCTAACTTAAACAAAAAGCAGATAAAACCATAAAGTTATTGTACAAAACATCACCCAAACGGAAAGCTTTATGTTGGAAAATCTTTAAATTTAGTTTAGTTTAAGATTGATTCATGATTTTACAGACACTGGCATTTTCAGGTTAATGGGAAGTGGTGTGAAATATGTTTCAGATGGCTTTGATTTGATTGTAATTTTTTAATCTCTACATGAAACACATTAAAAAAGATACTCAAAGAAAACAGCTAAGATAAGTTGTTTAACCAAATGTTGCGTTTTGCCTATAAAACCGTGAATAAAAAGCATGATTATTTAATTTTCACAAAAATCGACAGTGGGCCTTATAATTCGGTGCGCCATATGTATGAATTCTGGTTGTGCTTACTGACCTTGAACTGATTTTATGTGGTGCGCGGCGCTCAAAAATTGGTCAAAAAAAATGTTTTACTACGACTGGTCAGCTACGAAGCCGCACCAGAGCATTATGGCTACTGTAGTCAGGAGCCTTGCAGAGTAATCTGGATCCAAAACTCCATCTGCTTCAGGTTCCAAAGTCAAACGAGCACTGCGGCATCACTGAGATTTAAAAAACTGTCTAAATTCTCTCATCTTTAATAAAATGATCAGCATTGCTGCTTTACCAGGAGTAACAATTAAGGCATCCATGATGACAGAATTTATTAAATTTAATGGAGTTACAAGTTAGCAGGAAGTTAGCTCGCTAGTTTCCATCTAAACATGATATAGCATGTTCTGACTGAGAGATTTCTGAAACAAATTAAAACATACAGCTCTGCTATCACTTCCAACATAAATGAAGACAGAAAAGTAAACAGCAGTGACTTTTCTAGGGTTACTGAAGGTGGGCTAGCTGATATATAATGATGTGCTACGTGATCGCTAGCGACACAGTTATGTTAGCATAACATAAAATCAGTGAGGCTGGAGGATGAACGCTAACTTTTTTCCACTCAATAAAAGTTAACGTAAGGGTTCCTGATGATTTTTGACAAATGCAATCGCATGGCAGGATGCTGTAAACGGACCAAACATTAGTCAGGAGAACAACTGAGATAATCCATCGACAATACGAGGTTAGTCATTAATATACTGAAACAACATGGGAATAGAGCAGCTGCAAAAGGATTCAGCATTAATGAATCAATGGTACGGAAGTTGAGGAAGCAAGAAGAATGAGTTGCATAAAGTTTGATTTATCTGACTGTTTTGTTTCGCTTAATGCGCCTTATAATCCAGTGCGCCTTATGGTCTGAAAAATACAGTAATAATTTTAGGAGCTAAAATAGTTTGAATTACTGAATAAAAGATTGATGCAGCTTCATCTCTGGAAATCAGATCTCCCGGAGAAAAATCTCTGTGGTCCTAATAAAACACCATTATCAGATCCTAAATGGAAATAATGATGATTACTGAAGGTAACAATTACTTATGATGTCAGCATAAAGCGAAATTTACAAAACTGGAGCAGGTATGTGCAAAAGTTACTGATAGGTGCCGATCAGTCCTCACGTGTACACCATCTGATTAAACCTATAGAGGACTGTCTGCACCACCTCTATTCGTCAACGCCCGTTTTGTGAATTAAAGCAGGAATATCACGTGACACAATAAGATTGTTTAGTTTGGCAGTCAGAGAATAACAATTCCTTGAGAGGCACAAACTGAATCAAACTGAATAAGATAAATTGCAACTGATTCTAATGATGAGCAGTGTGTGTTTGTGTGTGAAAGAGGTATATGGAGAGCTAATGCAGGATGCTTGTAGGACTTTAGGGTAAGGTTGGACATCTCCGACATCTCCGATCTACACAGTACAGAGTTAGCAGCTTCAAGGGTTGATGGAGCACAGTTCACAGCTACAGAGAGCAGGGCAGAGACAATAAAACAGGAAGTACTGTAAAATCTCAAACAGGCCTATTTTTCTCATGGTTTCTTCATCCTAGTTCACTCATGGTTATTGTTTATTTGTAAAAACTAAGGAATTCCTTTAGTGTTTCACAATAAAAGCAGACACATGTACCCAGATTTTGTGTCCTAGCTCATCTGAGTCAATAATTTCAAAAGTACCAAAATGTTAAAGCTGACTTTCACTTCCAGCCTTGGAGGCAACTTGTTTACCACAGAAAATCAAATTTACAGCTTCAACTCATCTTAATTTTCTAGCATTTGGACATAAAAATCAGAAAAGAAATAACAGTTTGGTCCAAATTAGTGTCCAAGTTACAGACAGGGCCACATTTAGCCCAGAGATCTGACTCCTCCAACTAAGAGATCCAAACCCACAACCTGGTGCCATAGCCTGGGCTGTACCACCAGCTATGATTCCCATCTTTTATATGCAATATGAAGATGTTTCTGAGTAATTTCAGGCTTTTATCTTCAATAGAAGATTAATAACCATCATCTTTCAAGAAATGATATTTTTATCCACTGGTGACAGGTTTCACTGGTACATGAAGTTATCTGCTGCATTGTCAGGCTGTAGTTTTCCTATATATTTTTACTTTTTTCCACTTTCCACTTCTAAACATATTTATTATTCCACATGGTCTTTCTTAAATATTTGAAAGTCTACATCTTATTTTACCTTTAATTGAACCTGCCTGAGTATAATGTTCAATCTCAAGACTGCTTTTTTCAAATGGAAATATTCTAGATTTCTACTGAAGTGTCAGTTTCAAATGTTTAGTTCTAATGGGTTCCCTGGATAACTTTAGAGAGTGCAAAAACATCTGAAGAAGAGTGGTGTAAGTTTGGGACTTTTCATTGCACCAGTATGCAGCATGTTGCAAGTTGTCAAAAATGACTAATAATCATCATTACTGATCCTCCTCAGTGGTGCAGCCTTCTAAGTGACAAAGACATCACTCATGGCCCGCCACTGTAAGCCAAACTAAGGTGGTTAAACACAAGAACCTGCTGATGAGTTTCTTTGATTCATCACAGCAGTATTTTTCTGTGACGACATTTTACCAGTTTTATGTGGAAACACAGAGACATATTCCTTCTATTAAACATCTGAGGCGGTTCCTCAGTTTTATAAATGGATGCTTTATTAATTGTGAATATTTTCAGTATGTATTTAAACTTCTTCACACTAAAATAAAGAAACCTTCTGGGTCTTACAAATGAAGACTGTGAGGAAGAACCTCAAACAAAGACGCCCTGTTGTACAGAAATCTGTTGAAACCAGCCCTTTAGCTCCTGTCACCTCTAGCCCGGTAAACATCTGCTCTCTGGTCAAGCATGAGCACGCTCAGCTGGAGGCTTCATATCAGGATTTCATATCTATCTTTTAGATGCAAACTATAAACCACTGTACAGCACATTTGTAAGGATTGATATACAACAAGCTAATATAATCTTAGAGTTTATAAACCATATATCACATCTCTGCAGTATCTTCTTTCCAAAAGTGCTGAGTGAAAATCTGTGCTCATATTTTGATTATTCTCTCAGTCGGCTGTGGTGGTTGGCCAAAGTTAAAGTGAGAAGAGGCACAAGTTCTTATTGTTATATGGGACAGAACACCTTTTAAATCCAGTAACTGGAGATGGTGTTATAGATTATGTTTAAAATTGGATTTATTAAAGCTTTCCCAGTTAAGTTTCAAGTTTTCTGGCTCGTAGTCTTTACAGACAGAGCTTATTTCCTGTAAAACATTTAGTTATCTTTGAATCTTAGCTTATATAGTAGCATGGCTGAGAACTAAGGGAGACATAACTTTTGCCACTGTGGCCCCCAGACTCTGGAACTCTCCACCTTTGACCTTGAGATCTGTGGACAATGTAGTCTCTGTAGTCTCTTTAAAAAAAAACAACTAAAAACTAATCTTTGTGTTTGGTTAACTTTTTTTTTTGTCTTTTTTGTTGTAAATGCTCTGGCATTTCTTTATGAAGCACTTTGTGATCTCTGTCTTGAAAGGTACTATATAAATAAAATTTTACTTACTTAATTTTGAGGTTTTGGTTTTCAAAGATGGCTTTAAATGGTTCGTCTCACAAAATATAAGTCTAACTTCAACAAAGTATCTTAAAAAGAAACTATTTATATAAGTTGAGTTGTTGTTATACTCAACAAGTCACCTCAGTTATCACTGTTATCAGACAGAAGTGATCTTCACTAACACATTGACTTGTGTCTGACTTCTTTCACAAAGTTTATCAGCCTCTTCCAGACAAAATAGATTTGGATGCTTCTCACCCGGCATTGACAGCTGAGGTAAACAGTGGACTGACAAAGATAGGGAAAGAAAAATCTAGGGCTGATCTGGTCTGGAGTGACTTTGCTTTCTGGGTACACTCACTACAGATGAACAGCAACTAAAGCTTTGAGGTGTCTCAGGGATAAAAACATAAAATATTTAAGTGAAACATTTATTTTTAATTTTTCTGATTTATTGCTAAGTGTTAATATTATTCAAACATGTTAAAAATAGTTTGGATATTATTTTATTATATAATATATTAGTTACAGTGTTTTAACTACAGCCATTATGTGATGTTTTAGATCTCTTAAACTATCTCTTGACTGATTAAAATGTGTTTGTCCTACAGTGGCCACGGTCGCTAGGTATGTACTTGAATTGCAAGACGCAAAAAAACAGAACTCAGTTGACTACAGTCTGCAATCTGCTGACTTCTGGTGGTGATATTTTACACTCTGGAACTTTAATGTTACAGAAAGCCTTTTTTTTATATAAAATTAAATAGGTCAGAAAATGAAGATTTGCTTGATAAAATATTGAACTGGATGTCAACTTGTGCTGCCCTGTCACAGCTCCTGGCGATGGTCATTTACACACAAAGTGTTGTTTTGGTGTGTGTGCTGTTATGTGAGGTATCTGACAAAATGACATTTTAGAATCCTTTAGGATGCCAGTTTAATACAGCATCAACATTTCAGTCTCCAAAAAGCAGCAGGACCCTTGTTTTCCCGTTGTTCTGCAAATTCACTTGAAAACCCAAGATATTTCAGTTTTATCACATTTATAAAGCATCCAAAGGAGACGAACACACTTAACTGAGATGTTTAGGGTGTGGACAGTTTTATAGGAACTACCAGCTCCAATCCTTTGCTTAGTTGACTTGGCTGCCCTGTAGAGGTACTACTCATTTATATAATTTTAAAAATAAATATATAATAGTAAATAATAAATATATAATCGATAAGCTGTCATGTAACCCTTGAAATCTGTAATTGCTGGTAAAGTTATTTTATTTTTTTTCATTTTTTTATAAAGCTCATAGAAAAATTACAGTTTGAATGGGTGGTTTTGTTGAGTATGCTTCCAAATAAAGGGTTATTCTAGAAAAACCATTTGTATTTTAGACACTTAACTAATTGACTCCACATTTTTTAAACCACTAGATCCCTGTTTCATGGATTTGTTATCCAGCCATTATTCTGTGACATATTTGAAAGTTTACAGTACTTTATGTCCAATTTGTAAAGAAGACACTCATTCATGTCTCTCTCTACAGGCACACATAATCATGCCACTTAAAGTTGCTTGACTGATATGTAGGAGGAAGTACAAAATAACAGCAAGAAAAACAGGCCACACAAAGGTAGGGAGCACTAAATACTTCGGATTCAAGGCCCTGAAAAAAACAGGAAACAAACAGCTAAGATGAGCTGACACGTGAGAATGTGAGACCCTGAATGCATCTTGCTGTTAGGGACACCGGTCATTTGAAATGCTTCGTCCATTGTTATCTGAGATAGGCTATGGCTTTGGCCCTGGTCACAGCAGGAAGGGGAGGATTTAAGGAAAACTAAACACCCTTTTTACCAACAAGTGAAGGTTCCGTCTTTGTTAAAATTTGTTTTTTGTTTGTATCCCATCATCTCTCTTACACCGTTTTAGAAAAATAGAAATCAGGAAAAGATCATTAAAAAAATAAACCAAAAAGTTCATCCAAAGTCTACATCCACATAACAGCTTCACGTAAATATCAATGATATTGCACAGCAAGGGATTTCTTCCGATATGAAGTAAATCACTGACACAGTTGGTTGATTAAAAAAAGAACACGGTGGGATGTTAAAATGATTGAAACGTTGCATGTCGGGTTTTATTGTTTTTTTTCTTCAGAGAGACAGCAGCAGGATCCCGGGCCCTCCTTCATCAGGCAGATATGTCCTCTGAGTCCTGCTTGAAAAAAGAAAAAAAAGTAAAAAAAAAAAAAAAAGAAAGCTTCAGAAGTATCACTGGTGAGTTTTGGTTGAAGGCACAGAGTTCTAAAAAGGGTGGATGATGCTGATTTTCAAAGCACAGCAGCAGGTTTTTAGTTGTTGGCGTTTCCTGATGGAGGGGATTCATGTGGTCGGATCGACTCTCCTGATGGTTGGAGGGCAGGGCTTAAACTCTCTGTGGACACATAAACAAGAATATGGGATGTGTTAGTGTGGGGAGAATAGAAAAACTAGAAAATATCCACAAAGCATATTCCACTAAAGATCCACAACTTTGATGCCAAAATAAACACTCTGCAGACACATTCGGGCCTAATCCAGGCTGCTTATGGCACTATTGGCCAAGTTATAGCAAATGAGCCAGATGTGACACAACAAACATGATATCTGGCTGATATAAAGAGGTTGCGTGCCTGAGTTGATCCAGCTAAATCCACCAATCAATGAGGCCTAATGTTTTGCAAAATCAGCTGTTGATACCAGGCCACATCTGGGCCAAACAGGTGGTACTTACTTAGGATGCTGCTGTGGCAACTACAGAGAAAAAAAGCTAATCCTCCTGGATACATTCAGAGTTGAAGTGCTTGTTTCTATGGGTGTTTTGACACATACATTTTGGGCATCATGTGACCCAAAGAAACCTGCACATTTGGGCTAAACATTCAGTGCTAATCAGGACGATCAGAGAAAGGCAGCCGTCATTACTGGACCTGAAAAACTCCAATATAAACCAGATTATTGTACTTCTCATAGATCAAAAGAAAAGCGTTAGTTCTTCCAATGACCAGGAAATATGTAGGTTTAGGTGAGATTTTTGGGAGGGTGGGGTGGGGGTCTTTGTATAACTGCAAAAGTTATGAGCTGAGCTGAGCTGAGTCGACACAACTGTCAAATTTAAAGGATCAAATTTATCATTTTGCCACCACTGTCCCCTCACAGGAAGAAGGTTGCTGGTTCAAACCCCAGCTGGGTTCATTCTTTGACTTTTCTTGTTTTCCCTGTAGCTTAGTGGGTCATCTCCAGGTCCACAGTCCAAAGACCTGCATGTTGGGTTAATTGGGGATAATAAATTGGCTGCAGATGTGAATATGTTAATGCAGGATTTAGCGTTACAGTAACTGATCCTGCAGACCCAATGTGCTCCACAGCAGGCTATTCTCCAGATCAGAGACCAACAGGCAGGAAATCACTGACCAATCAGATTCCTGCACAATGAGGTCACCATCCCTGAAGATTCCTGAGAGCTCAGAATGCAGATAGTCAGAGGGTCTGAAGGTTTTTTTCTGGGGTTTAAAGACTTTGTCAGAACAGCTTCAGTTAGAAATTTAGATCCTGAGAGAAACTTTATTCTCGATGTTTCGTTTTGGCCACAAACAATATTTACTATTCTACAAGAATCAACATCTGATCCTAAATCACAGCATCTGCTTGTATTTGGACTTTATATCACATTTGCACACAGTCTGCTTGTCTTTATTTTTACTCTCAGACTGTGGTAACTGGCACCTTCCTTCTTGCTTCAAATAAACTTTATTAATACAGCAGCTCTTTCAGCTTCAGGGCTTTTACTGTTTTCACATTTTCACACACACACACACACACACACACACACACACACACACACACACACACACATAGATGAATACACACTGGTTAGTTTTATCACATTGATAACCCCCTGCATGTGATTTCAGATTAGCAGTTAGTTTAAGTGAATCCAGATAAGGAAAATAGATCCTGGGTATTTTGAACCTGCTTCATGGTCAGTGTTGGGGAGTTACGGAATACATGTACCAGTGTTATATATTTAAAATTCAAAATATGAGTATTCCGTTACAGTTACCGCCTAAATGCGCATGATTATTTGCAGGTAGCAGGTACTTAATGCTATCCATCAAGTCTAACAGTCTGCAATCTATAAACTAACTTCAGCTAATGCCAGCTAACAATGTTAGCTTGGTGGCGAGCTAGTTTCCTCTTTGTGTTGTATCTTCTGTGTGTCCTTGATTGTGCATGAATGTTTAAACCGGGAGGGAGAAATGGAACTTTGTCACATTTTTTACTCCACAGATTATAAACCAGTGTGTGAGGGTTTGTGTGGATAGGAAAGAAGCTGAGAGTAAGAGGGCTTCTGCATGGTGGTCGACAGCTCAGGGTCTGCATGTGCCTCCACCCCCACCTTACACCATCTTCCTCGAAGTTAATCCACCAGCAGTGGCAGCAGATGGTGCTGCGAGCGTCCACGGCTGTGCCCTCAGCAGCTCCTGTAGTTATGATTGCACGTCTGAGGCATTAAGTTGGATCAGTGTAATCCACTGCAGCATATGCAGCAGCCAAATCCAGCAGGCAGGAAAACCTTCCTCCTACACTTTCCCTCAACAAATGCTCTCCAAGAGGGTCACGAGGTGTTACCACGACTGACAACACCCCCCACCCCCACCCAGCTGCCAAATAAACACATCAGTCCTGAACTCGAAGCGTGTGAAGTCTTCACTACGAATACACTCTGAAAGGAAACTGCAGGTTTAAATAAAAGGCTAAACTGAGATTTGAAAGGAGAGTTTAATCTCATCCCACTAACCTCACACTCACAGAGCTGAGACGGCACAGCACAGTGTGAATCCCACCAAAGCAGATGGCCTTTCAATCACATAGGCTCTGAGACCACTGTCCTTTGCAGACATGTGTTACGTAACAATAACAACATTCTGCCATTCAGAGTGAACGCTTCTTATAGCTTCATCCTCAGTTTCTTTAAAATACCAGTAATCCTCAGGATCTCAGCTCTGAATATGCAGGAAGAGGATTCAGTGAAAAGTTAGTGGGTCGAGACAAAGTTTACTGTGGTCTAAGGAGCTTGGAAAGAAAAGCGTCTGGACTTCTTTAAGTTGCTTGAAGACGTTTCGCCTCTCATCCGAGAAGCTTCTTCAGTTCTAGGGTCAAATGGTGGAGAGTCCCAGATTAAAGCTCTGTGGGAGTAACCCACCAAGAGGGACAATGGACCCCCTAACGATCCTCTACCTAATCACACGAGCCAAGGTGGGAAGACGGCTGTAGGTCACAATCAACCAAGTTTTCGGGTGCGCTCATTGTGAAACCTATCTTTTTTTTTTTTAAATCACTTTATTTAAATATCAGAATTCACAATTACAAATACACATAATACAAGCACCATGCACAAATTATTCACATCTTATTTTACATTTTACAATAATAAAAGCTCCCACGGCAAGTCGTTTCCTAATTTCATATCTCTCATTTTTCTTCTTCTCAGCTCCGTTACAATGTTTTTACATACTGTGAAACTACTTATCATTTTTTGTTCTATAACACCTTTAGCCCTTGTTTTCCATATGTGTACATTTATAATGCACATCACCAGCCAAAACAATCTTCTTTTATTTTCACTCATCTTTTCTTTAAACAAACCATATCTTACTGGTTTTGTATTATTTTCAATATTAAAACCTAGTTTTTCCATCCTCCTTCTTATTTCAACCGTCCTGTAACATGATATCAATAGATGATCAAGAGTTTCGTTTTCATCACAATTCTCCATAGGGCATTTCTTAGTAGTAACGAAGCAACTCCACAGAACCACAGCTCTTACTGGGAGACGTCCGACAGAGATAAGCCACACTGTATCTCTCATGTTCTCGGATATTACTTTATCATATATGTTTTTAACTATTTTCTGATTTTCTTCTTTTTCCACAGCCTTATATTGTATCATACCTTCATTTTTTTTAGATTGATTTTATTATATATTTTGTTTTGAGTTTAATTGTAAAAGATTTAAGGCATCCAATTTCCACTGATCCACAAGATCCCCAAACACAAGTTTAAAGTATGGCACTCCCATTCGGGCTCACCCTTTCATTTTTTTCCACAAAGATTTCTTCCCTTGGATCCAGTGGGTGCTTCGCGCAAATGCGCTATATACATTTTTTAGAAAAGGAATCATCAAAATAATGCTAAGATCTGGCGCTCTTAATCCTCCATTTTCTTTTCCTTTATACATTAATTTCCTCTGCGTTACTTCGTGGTTTGTCCCCCAAATCAATTTGGTACACAATTTACTTAATTTAATAACAGTTTTCTGAGGAGGGGGAAAGACAGTAGCCAGAAACAACAACTTTGTGAAACCTATCCGCCCCCTATCATGTGATTTCCTGAGGTCAGATGGCCCAGGATGTGAGTGGGCATTAAGGCGTCTGGGAAGGGATCTCAAAACTGGATTATAGATGGCAGACAGTTGGTGTCGTAAACCACGGACTCTGTTCAAAGATGGTTGCATTTATGTCCACTATGAGTGACCATCTTTGATTCACAGTTTAAAATAATCCTTTATATGATTGCCAAAAAGTTGATTCTGTTCATTTGGATGTAGCATTTTCAGTGGGAGAAACTGACTGCAGGTTTCCCCAACCTTATAAACACCACATTTGCAAAATGACTGAAACTAGCACCACTGACTAACATTAGGCTGTGAGGTCAGTTTCATGATTATTAATATGCAAATTGTCATGACGATTGATTGACAACCACTGATCAAAGACCATCAAAGGCCACTTTAAGCAATGCAGAGCCCTTAGCATCCAACATGAGCATAAAGGAGAGGAAAGCACTTACACGGGTAGGTGCACAGTTTTGCTAAACCAGAAAGACTATCATGAGAAATACTTATGAGCCCCTGAAATGAGACCCAGGAAGTAGTTACAGGAAGAGAGTGGTTGTCTGAAGCAGTTAGAACAAGACAAAGCTATTGACTGGACCACATACCACAGGCTATATCCAGAGGAAGCTACACCAAGTCTGTATGGTTTACCAAAGATACATAATCAGGGTGTACCTTTACGACCAATTGTCTGTATGATCAACTCGGTCACCTATAACATCTCAAAGTTTCTGGCTTTGATCCTCAACTCGTTGGTAGGCAGCTGTGAACACCAAGTCCAGAACACCTTGGACTTTGTTGACAAGGTAAGAGATGTCATTATGGAGGGAGATGAAACAATGGTCTTGTACAATGTTACATCTCTCTTCACTTGTGTTCCAGTCACTGTAGCAGTGTCAGTAGTCCGTAAGAGATTGCAGGATGATCCCAACCTAAGTAACAGGACCACCACTACTAAGTCATTGGTTCAGATATGCAGATGACATCTGGGTGAAAAT